GGCTCGCTGCACGCGAACCCTCCCCGTTCGGCGAACAAATGCCTTCCTCTCGCACACTCACTAATGCACTGAGTGGCCAATTTGCCTGCCGCCATTATATTCTCATCACTCCTGTTTCATTACTTCTCTTTTCATTACCGTTGTTTCATTACACACGAGTGACGCGGGCAAAAGAGTCACAAGGGCAAAGTCGTCACCCCAACTTATTTTCAGAGCTTTCGTGTGAAGTCACCATTGATATTTGTTAACGAAGCTAGTACAAATGAACTACGGATGCGAAATTAAACAATGTATTATTATTGTTGTTGTTACTACTAGTAGTAGTAGCTTTGTAGTAGTAGCAGCAGCAGCGCAGAATTTGAAACTACACAAGGCAGACGATAATTCCTGAAGATACCGGTTTCAAAACATAGATGTTTTTATAGAAACATCAATATTTTAAACCAATGTTTTTATTGAATCATCCATGTTTTAAACCGATGTTTTTAACATCGATATTTGGGGATCGCTGTTTTTACATTTCGATGTTTTGTTAGCGAATGGAAAAAATTCATGATCACAAGTTTGTAAACGTTAAAATATGAAACAATAACTAATAGTACCACTGTCTGTTAGTGCGTTCGAACCCAAGGAACGCTGTCTGTAATACCATCAGCGAGCAGAACATCTCTCGCCCGAGATGTCCAAGATGCCCTAGTATTTCCTACGCATTTCGCTCAAGGAGAGGCGGTCAAGTCATGTGATCTGGGCATAAGTTTTTCATTTCTTGGGCGGGCTAACGATTGACCCTTTGCGATGACACTGGGTGCTCATACTGTGAGGTTCCATATTGTTCATCTCGTCTTTTTCCGTAAGAAGAAAACGTATTGTAACTGTGCGCCGGAAATGACAATTTTTCGACTGAGAAAACGATAAATGTTGTTCCTAAATGTAGTAAATTTCTTTCTGTATTCAGAATCCAGGTCCCGTGGATCCTTCATAACGAAATATCGATTGACGGGTAACACAACATGATTGATGACGCCAAAATCAAACGACTAAAATAAAACTAAATAAATAAAACTAAAGACAACATCTAAGAACAAAATAAAGGATTAATAGAAAAAATCCATAAATAGACGTAAAGATGATAATTCCCAAACAAATAATTAACTTCATGAAATGACTTCATTTTCTCTCCCTTTTTTGTTTACATTCTATGATTTACATTCTATGCCTTAACCCCCCTGATTTCTTGAGACTCCCATTCTACTTTCTTCCTATTGCTGCAGAAAGTAAGTTTACACTTTCGTACGTTTACGATCTTCTCTGTACTGCATTCAAATATTCCTGTTGTGAATTTCTATACGATTTCCAAAACATTGCCCCGTATTTCATTAATGGACGAACTAGAAATAATTACGCTAATTCTCTCGCTTTCGCAGTACTCTTTTTTAGTAATCTATCTAGTAAGACATCTAGGCTTTCCCTGCGACAAAGTTAACCCGATATTTACAACTCAATTTGCTGATAAAAATTATTCCCAGAGACTTACAAGACTATACTCTTAGAATATTTTCATTGCCTAAAAGGTATTGAGTTTCATTATATTTGCGGCCCCTACCAAACGTGATGGTTTTGCTTTTATTTACTCGGCCATTACAATTAAAACGCACACTATAATCTTCCACGACCGAGAAACGAACTCAGGGTCATGGAAAGGAAGCACTTTGACCAATGTTCTAAGCCGCTAGGGCACTCCATAACCACACGGCGAAAGAACATGGACGCTGGCCCGAACCCCAGTCCCACCGTCGCCCGGGACTGGACGATATGTCAGGCTACGCGTGCCTATTAATTACGTCCCTGCCATCAACTCTCTTATCTTTACCATGCGAAATGCATTTCACGCACGAAACCTGACATCGCTGGTACGCCACGCGGAAAGTGTTCAAGACTAAGCAAAGCGTTGTGTTAGGTGTTTTGAAATAAATGTATGCAAAACAACAGGCAATACTAAGCTCATTGTGCGTTTAGGGGGAATAAACATTCAACAAAAATATAGTTTCCGTAGTAGATAAAGTAAAGTGTTAAATATTGTACCGAAGTGTACCCGGAATGTTCCTAATACCTTCACTTAATGCACAAATTACTATGTTTATGTTGTACTTATAAACTGTCTTACTTGATCAGTGCTGATGATGTTGTGGAGCCCGGTGTACTGAGAAGCAAGGGAAAGCGAGAAAACCTGCCACAAACCCGCCTTGTTCCCTACCAATTGCACACGCAAACAGGGAACGGGCAAAAATTATCACTCTTAACAGAAAACTAATATATCACTACGTTTTTCTTGTAAATGATTTTTCAGATAGATTTACTACATACGCCTAATACATCAATTTGAGATTTGCCTTGCCTGCAACGCCACAAAGCCGCTACTTGTGGTCGATCATCTAGTATTACAGCTATCTCTGTCTGGAACAAATCTATTTCTACCAACTATGAGAAATTAAGTAGTTTAGGAACTCACAGAAACAAAAGCTTCAGCAGATAAGTTACTTAATGTGTACGCTTCGGCCCATTACATTGCCTACTTCTCGGCTTCAATATTTCTAGCATTAGAGACATTCATAAACCTTCGTAAAGCTTCATTTCACATTCAACAACGCTCCCCCACAAAGATCACAATGGATCTCAGAGCGCAACATTTGTCCACTACGAAGCCCTGAAGAAGGCTCCATAAAGAACAGAAACTTTGTCAAGGAACATGTATTTTTTGTTTCCCGGCTTCGATGGCTCATGGGCAGGGAACAGACTGGAACCGAGGTCCGTGCTCCATATAAAGCGTTGATTCCAGCACGTGCTCGTGGAATGGGTGGCCTCTTTTATCATTTACTTATCCTATCTGAACGTCACCCCAGCCATAGACTTTTACCGTTCATTATCACCCTAAAATTATTTATATAGGGGAAGGCCACGTAAAACCAACAATGGGATCATTTGCTCACATAAGGAGGGATATTACATCGTCCACCATTGTCTATGCTCAGAATTGTTGAGATTATAATTAGGATCAACACCATATTTTTTATTCAAAATTACCTTTTGCTTTTAAATTTGATTTACATAACCAAATATTGTTTGTACGTTCCACATATTTTCCATCAATTGAAATTATCTTTTTCTTTGAATACGTGAACATTCCCTTGTACTGGTTTTGAACCAATTGGGAGAGTTCATTCCGCGGATGACTCTTGTGATTCGAGTGGGGTGTGGGATGCCAATTACTGGCACGTGTTCGATCGGACGGCCTGCTTTGAACAGACGCGCGCAGGACGCTGTGTCCGCTGTGTGCACCGGGTTTAACACTGCGCGTGGTTCGGAACGCATGGCATTTGCAGCCTGTGCCCCGAGCGCGCTTTCCAGCCCCAGCCCTGCTCCTCGCCGCGAGCCTCGGCGCGTTCCATGGCGCGCGGCTGCCCGCGCAAGAGTGCGCGCGCAGGAACGCTGTGCCAAACAGCGGCGCGTGTCGGCGCCGCTGTTATCGCCACGCGCGTGCATTCATAAGCGCCCGTGCAAGCGCTTGCAGGGCGACGATGTCTGACTGAGGAGCCCTGGAACGGGCAGAGAGCGGTTGATGGGGATCGTGGGTGGAAGGTGGTCGGGTAGGGAAATTGCCAGAGGGCGCAGGTTCGGGTAG